GAGGGATGACTATTCCCTCCTTACTCAGAAAGCCACATCCAGAGTTCTGTGTCCAGTTCTGGGCTCCCCAGTACAAGGGAACCAAGACACTGCAGATAGTCTGGCAAAGGGCTGCAAAAATGAAGGGACTGGAGCCTTCCTCTAAACCAAGAAAGACTGTCAGCTTAGACTATTTATTGCAGAAAAGAAAAGGTAGGGAGTGTGGCTCTTACTATTGAATATAAATGCCTGAAGGGAATGTACCAAGAGGAGGGAGAGAGCCTATCTCCAGTGACAGGGCCAGAGGCATTGGGCACAAACTGAAACACAGGGGCTCCATCTGAACATCAGGAAACATTTTTTCACTCCGAGAGTGACTGTGCACTGGCACAGGATGCCCAGCAAAGTTCTGGAGTCTCCATGCTTAGACATAGTCAAAAGCCATCTGGACACGGTCAAACAGGTGCCTTTGCTTGAGCAGGAGGCTTGAACCAGATGACCTCCAGGTCCCTTCCAACCTCAGCCACTCTGCAATTTTCTGAAATGAAGTATTTATTACAATGCTTAACTGTGATGATAATACTTGAAAATGATCATTAGTACCATGATTATAAAAAAGTTTGAAGTACATACATTTCCTAGCCACATGGTATGCCATGATTATCAGCCTCTTTAGGAATCTGATTGTCCAGTACTTTAGAATTCCTTTGGCTCCAGAGCACAAAATACATGTCTAAAGATGGTTGTGGTCAAAATGTTAACACCTTTTTTTTCTGCACAGAAAAATATCTGGCATATAAATTCATGCCAAAGAGCTACATTTTCTACTTGATGACACCAGAAATAAATGTACTTTCAGTAGCAGAATCTGGCTGGAATTTTGCCTGCCCTTCAGGCAGGCTTGTAACTTGGTAAGGAGACCATTGTACTGATTGTGGATCTATCATCCATTACACAATCAGCAGAAAACACTTTGTAAAAATTTTTATAAAGACTTTTAAAGTGTATTTATGCACACCTCACTGCTGTTTAAAGCTTTTAGGGGATGGGTCCTGAAGATGTGTGCAGAGACAATGACTGAATTTTTTAGTTTTCAAACACCAATCCAAAGGGCTAAACTTGTCGTCTCACCACTGAAGAGCCTGATATACTCAGAGGTATATTTAAAAATAACTGAAGTTACAATGTTGGTTCTTTTAGTAGAACCAGAGTAATAGTTCTGACTTTAATTTTGAAAGGAACATATTATGACAGGAACATGCTTCTTCCACTCAGTATTCATTGTCTGCACATGCCATATATTATAATGATAAACAATACTTTATATTTTGTCAAAGGTTTAGCTAAACACTGCCTAACACAAACATGTGTGGGCCTGTTGAACACCTCCTTTGAGAAGGCTGGCAGGCAACAAGCCTTCTGCAGGAGAATAAAAAAAGCTGCTTAAAAACCAGTCCAGTTTTCCAGGCATCAAGTTAAATATTTACAACAAATGCTAACTTCCCACCATGCATCTGCCCATCTTCATGTAGTATTCCCCCTGAGGGATTGTCCTCCCAGGTGACAAGTGAAATCAAGATTTCAAAGTCAGATTCTAACAGTTTTGACAGATGTAAAGAAAAATATTCAGCAGATCACTGCTGTGAGAACCAGCCATAGGGCTGTCCATGCTAGGGAGCTCAAAGGTCAGCAAAACAAGGCTCCTGGTGGCCTTCTTCTAGGAGCCACTCATCAGAAAAGGTGTGTTGAATTATTTGAGTGACATGACAGCCTTGCACAGACTTCCTTTCCTTTGGAGAGACTGCTCCTCATTTCCTTTCATCTCGTGAGTTTAGAACCTGCCCCAAGTCAGGCAAGACAAGCACCCATGCATGTCCTGAGAAAATAGTACTGTGGAAAGGCTGCTTTTTTCCTCCTTCTCAGGGAAAAGGAAAAACACAGTGTGGGTGCAATCGCAGCTGTTCACAAAAAAATCTGCAACAGATCTAATTTCACACACAGAGGAATTTCTCTTGCTCTTGTGATGCAGTGGAAAGGTTTCATTTTTGTGGCATTAGCATCAATTATTACTATTTCTGTATAGTCACCCAGGGGCCTCTGCTTGGGTGTGGTCTCACATCTGGCCAGTGCAAGCCTGGAATCTGAGCAACAAGAAAGTCGTGGAAGCCTATTATTGACCTGATATTTCATAGGAAGCTTATGGACCAAGACTTGCTGCTCTTCAGTTCCCAGCACATGAGAAGGGTACTCACAGCACAAGAATGAATGAGAAAGCGAAATCATGATTGCTGCTATTCAAAGCACAGTCTATGGTGACTATTAAGCAGTGACTCCATTCATTTCTACTTCTCGTACTCTTTGTAAAAATAGCAGATAATTCAGCAGTTCTGAAACTTTTTTCTGCTACTTTTTTCTCACTTTCCTCCCCCTTTGTCTGTACACACCTGCAGGGAGTGGGTCTTGTGAGGAGAAAAAATTGCTACAGCTGCTAACAGCAAAGTAATGGTGTCAGCAGGGGACAGAAGGTTGGAGTAAGAAATCTGGGGGACAAACAGACCATTAAATGAACTGGGAGAAGAGGAAGGGAGAAGGAAGTAGAGGAGATGAGGAGGGAGAGGAGTAGAGCAGGATGCAGGCAGTGCACTGATAACTAACTCAGAGCTGCCCCATTACTTAACAGAGGAGACCCCTAAACATGACAGAATCACCAGGAACAGCTGCAGTGTTGGCAGCAGCTCCCAGGAGCCTGCGTCTCTGTGGTCCTGGCTCTCCTCTGCACTGCCTGTCTACATCTCCTGGCAGAGCCCTTTGTCACAGCCCCACTTCACACTCTGTCACGCTCCCAGATCCAGCCACCAGTCCCATCCTGATCCCAGTAGTTGCACTATAGAAAGGATTAAACTCCTCCTGTTGTTACCATAAAAGCATGATTAATTGAAGTGACTGAGGGTTTCTTGTGCCACTGATGTTTGGCCTGAGGGTAGTTATAGAAGAATAAAGAAGTTATATTGTGTGGTCCTGATATAGATGTTCTAATTTGGAATAAACTTCCCTGCATAGTTTAAGACCCACTAACCACTGAATTGTCAGCAGTGTCACTGTGTCAGAGTCCTGGAAGAAACTTAATGTAAAAAACCTTTATATAATAGTTTCCCTGGCCTTTTGGAGGATTGTAAATTCTGTTGATAAGTAACTGTTCTCACAGAATATATCTGTATTCCCTTAAGGCACTTGACTTTGTACCATATCATACAGACATAAAGAACAAGCTGGATTTACAAACTGACTTACAGACCAATCTCTAAGGAGTTATGATAGCCATTAACGTGGTGTCAGTGAGCAGAGTGCCAAAGGTCTCAGCTCATGGGCCAAAAGTGCTTAGTAGTTTTATAGCTGTGAGAATTATACAAAATCTGTAGGAAAATCTGCTACTGATAAAAGTTTGTTTCACTTTCAGATAACAAAGACATTACCGTAAGAGTGATTAAATTGCTTTGTTGAAAGATACCAGCCCTGGTGTCTTTTGATACAGTTAAACACTTAAGGTGATAATTGTTTTGGGAAAACAATGACATAAATTCCATATATGGATCAAAGGCCTGGATTCTGGTGAGAAGCTAACAGTAACAATGCAAAACCACCCCAGAATAAAACCTCAAATAATGTTGTACATACAGAGAATGTAATCTTTCAATGTATAAGGGGAGAGTGTTGTGCAAGGCAAGGAAGTGACCCAGTCTTGTAAGGATGCTGTAAACTCATGCCTGGCAGTCTAAACATGCCAAGAGTCCATGCACTATACCTAACACAACCCAGATTGTGTACCATTAGATGCCCCTAAACTTTGCAACTTCTCAGCACATCCCGCAGGTCTGAGCAATCCAGTCTTTATTTTCCTTCTTCCCTTCCTTGAGCCTGGTAAAAACTGCTCACAGTGGTATCATCCCTTGCAGACTCCAGCCATTCTCTGGCCCACTTGCTGGTGTTCTTCCTCTCCTCAGCTATAGCAGGCTCCAAAATGAAGCTGGCGAGTAGATGGAACATAACAAGAGGAAAAAAATTGTGAAAGGATGGCACTAAGGACACTGTCTTCAGTGGACCAGGGAACGGGGACAAACAGCATCCCCACAATCCAGCCAATGAAATTTGGAGACAACTTGTCACAAGACATAAAACATCCCAAGAAATAGGACAGGAGGCAATGGGCAGAAAGCAATGCACAGGAAGTCCCACCTGAATATGAAAAACTTCTTTACTGGAACACATTGCACAGTGAACACAATTGTATGCCCTGAGCTCTAGAATGACCCCGCTTGAGCAGGGAGGTTGGACCAGATCAACAACTGTGGTCCCTTCCAACATTATCCACTCTGTGATTCTGCGACAAATCCCCAAGCCCCACTAATTCCTTACACTTAAAGGAATTAAATGTAAGGTGTAAGTTTTGCTATGGAAGGCAAAATCGCCACAACCTTTAAATGAATATGCATGTATTTATACACGTAGACTCAAAGGATGTTTGGTTCACACATCCGTCATGCACAATAGGGCCAACACTATCACCTACGCTTTGGACCATGAGCACGCCTTGTATTCTTTAGAGCTTCTGAACGGTTTTGGAAGGTATTCCGGGCTTTCCCTACAACTCCTGCCTGGGACCTGTGATGCCCAAGACACGGGAGGCCAGGCCAGCCCGGCCGCGCCGCTCCCTCAGGAGGGAGCCCACCGCAAGGGCCCCTCGGCCGGCCCCAGGCGGGGCCGAGTCACGGCCTCCCGCTGCCGGGGCCGCGAGCCGCGCCATGCTCGGCCATGGCCGGCCATGGCACGCCGTGCCGCGCCGTGCCGCGCCCCTCCGTCCTGCACAGCGCGGCCCGGGCAGAAGGCGGGGCGAGGCCCGGCGGTTCCGGCGGCGGCGGATGTGCGTCCTGCGCCCCGCCCCGGCCCGGCCCCGCCCCGCCCCGCCCCGCCGCCGGCCGCCCGGCCGCGTAGACGGGGCGGCGCGGCCGCCTCTCCCCGCGCAGCCGCCGCCGGCCGCCATGGAGGATGTGGGCTCGGGCGTGAACGCGGACGCGGAGGTGCGGAAGCTTCAGGAGCTGGTGAAGAAGCTCGAGAAGCAGAACGAACAGCTTCGCAGCCGCCACGGCGCCCTGCCCGCCGCCCCCGCCAGCCCCAAGCGCCTGCCGAGCGCCGGGCCCTCCTCGCCGCCGCCCGCCGCCTCCCCGTCGCCCGACGGCCGCTGTCTCAGCCCCAGGGCCGCCGCCCGGCGTTCGCTGCCCGAGGAGCCCGGCGGCGGCGATGGCGGCAGCGGCGGCAACGGCCTGCTGGACGACGCGGCGGTGCTCAGGCCGGAGGAGCTGGAGCGGCTGGCCGGCTGCGATGAGGACGAGACCGGCTGGTGAGGAGGCGGCCGGGGTGGGGATGGGGCGGGGGCGGTCGGTGAGGAGGCGGGCAGGGCTCCGCGTCCCCCTGCCCCCGCCGTGCCCGGGGGGAAGGGGCTGATTCCAGGCTTGTGCCTGATGTCGGAGGGGGTCTCGGGGCTTTGTGTGCGGCGGCAGCCTCGCCCTCTGCGCTGGGTGAAGGGCTTAACGAGCTGTGCGAGGCGTAGCGAAGCCTGCCGGGGAAGGGTGTTTCGCTTTCTGCGCACGGCGTTGGAGCTCCTCGGAGCTCCGGCGGGAGCGCTGCCTCGGGGCGCTCGGACACCGAGCGGGCTCCAGTGCTGCCGCAGCGTCAGCATCGGCGTTCTCGGGCCTGCAGGCGGTGGGAGCCGTGGAGAAACTTGTGGGAAATTTATAGGGTAGTTCAGAACTAGCCCACAGGTACTGTTAGACTTCAGACATGCATCAGGCATCTTTTATGCCTCGATTTCTTTCAGCTGTAAAGATGGCAAAGGTAACACTTTTTCATCTCATAAACGCGTTGCCCTTAGGTGTTCTAATTTATTGCTAATGATGCAGTAGGATCACGGTTTCCCTTAGGTTGTTCCTCGTTATAAATGGACTGCTTTACCCTGCTGCTCCAGCAGAAACAGCTGCAGGTGGCTGTTTGCCTTGTCATTATCGCACTTGGATGAGCTTCCACTGAGAATCAAGAAGACTTGCTCTCTCCAGACATCACACTGTTTCTAGCTGTCGTTTTGAAGTTTCCTATGAGAGTTGTTGAGGGGTAGCCTCAGAGCTGCAGGACAGATAGTGGGGAGGAGCACCGTGTCAATAACATGTCAACACCATATCAACAGAGGGATGCAAGGGAAACGTGTACAGGGACACAAAGTGTAATACAAGCAAACTGTCTTGCAGCAGAACCGATTGTGGGTCCATCTAGCAAGGTCTCTGGGAGCAAACATGGAGACAAATTTACAAAACAAACAAAAATGTCTTGTAGAGTTAGAAACGCCTTTAGAAATGCTGGACTGATTCCATGCATGAGCAATGTTTTAGTTGCTCAGGGAGGAGACAGTGTGTGCACTTCTTTGGCAAAGTCATTTGCCTGACATTCAGCCTGATCCACTGGAGAAGTATGAGAGCATAGGTTTATTCTCATCCAACACTAAATTAACACAAGGCATCATCTCCCAGAAGATGAGTCTGTCTGTGCAAAGCAGCTGCTCTTATTTCTTACTTTTTGCCTTGTAATCTACAAGGGCCTACAGCCGTTGATGGAAGTACAATCTGGTAAATTTGCACGGCAGGTCTGGGGTAGGATGGCCAAATTTGTAAATGTCATGAATTCTAGTGACAATAGATCTTACTGTTTTATACATTCATTCTAAATCATGGGTAGCATAATGAGTCTCTTAGGTGAAAGTGAATGTCCCGACAGCATGTGTGGTGACAGTGGCGTGTGTTTTTGTTGACACAGTTCTGGGTACTCACGGGGCAGCCAAATGGTTCTCTGAGCACTGCCCTTGCTGGTGTCAGGTGTCTGGCTGCCAGTTATTGTGGCACTGTCATGTTTCTGTGCAAGTTCTAGTGCTCAAAAACCAGCAAAACTTACAGGCGGTCTTCATTCCTTTACTAATATTTTGGCAACTATAATGCTGAAGTGTTTAGCAGCTAATTTTGGGCATGGGACACTGACTGAGACAGAAATGCATGAAACAAAAAAAGCAACTGTAAAAATTTGCTAATTGTCATACATATCACAAAATATGGGTATGTAGTTATTAAAAAAAAAGTGTTTTCCTGCTGTAGTTTAATCTGCAACTAATGATAAACATAGTTTGGCTAGATTGATGATTTCTTGTTCCAAAGTGCTTAATTAAAGTGGGAATTAAACTCTTGGAATTTCTAAACACCTTCTAATTCAACTGTTGAGACACTAAATAGTCCAATCCCTTTTATTTTTCTATGAAGGGAAGATGCCTTTATGCATTAGATTAATGGAGGTTATTGGTCTTAATGAAATTTGAAATTTTCAGAGGGCTGATGGAGCAATCTAAAACAAACAAGCCCGTGAAGGTAGGAGGGGTTGGTGTGAATAAGTGGATTTCCCTTAAACTGTTTCATAAATAATTTAATCAACTGAAAGAGTGAATGTATTCAATGAAATTTAAGTCTCATATGAACTCTTTGAGGTTCAAATGGATTAACCCAAAATCCTGTTTAAAATATGGGATTACACACTGTCAAAATCAAATATCTCTTAGCTGCTGAGGACACCTCTTGTGGAAACAAACTAAATTTAAATCATTGTTTGTTCATAAAAAATTGATTCATCTTGCGTGTTTTGCTTGTCTACACATAGAAGTTAAGATTTGTCTTTACTTTTGATTTCAAAAGGACCTTGCTGTGGGTAACAATAGGTTGTAGAGGGTGCTGGTTATTGCTATTCTTTTCTGTTTTGTGTAATACAGACATTTTCATACCCCATTATGAAATTGTCTGCAGTTTTGTCATGGCAGAATAAATATTTTTTTAACTGTTAAAATGACATTGTTTTACATTTAATGCTCACATGAGATTAGTGGCTGTGAATTTAAGACAGAGCACTTGATACTGTGATTGAAATTGATACTAGAATGTGACCAGTTTCTTTAAATCTACATGAAGAGTTGATCAACTTATTTTTAGCTTTTAAAATGCATTTAGGTAAGTATACAGAAGAGAAGTGTGAAGTGAAAAAGTAAGGAGAAGGTGCAACTATCAAACAGGCAAAGGAACTTTTTGACGCTGCTCTTTTCATAGCAGCATTAGCTATTAAAACATCCATACAGTATTAGTGAATTTTGGGATTGTTTATATTTTTGCTTGATTGCTTTTCTCCTCTGTGGTTAGTTAAATCCAGATTCACTTCAAGTTTTAAACATTTTTGCATGAGACAATATTCAAATTATGTGGTAAATTAGTAAATATATTTCAGTGAATTTGGATTGTCTTGTCTGTATGCTTCTGAATAATGTTTAATGTACTGAAACTTTCTTCCTGATTAGATCCCAAAGGTTGCAGATGGGCACGTCTGTATTTGCACACTGTACTGAGCTCTGCACAGACCCATGGAGACTTTGCTTTAGGCCTGCTGATTATTTCCTCCAGTTATCAGCGACTTCCATAATCTACTCTGTGGGTGTTCCTGTTTAGCTGTTCTTGAGCCAGATTGCATCAAATTTTCAAGTTCAATCTGAATGAGTTTTTTCTTACTAATTAATTGAAAAAACAATAGGGCAAAAGGGGTGATCAGAGTGGAGAAATCTTCAGAGAAGTGGTGTGCAGCTCCTTGCCTGACTGGCTGGGTAAGGTTGGGTGTGGATGAGCAGCATGTTGGAGACATCTGGATAACAGTGTGCAGGGTGGCTTGCCATGCTGCTTTTCAAAAGAGTTTATTGGGTCTTGAGTTTATTGCAGGATAAGCGTGCACACGTGGGCAATTACTGTAGATTAGTTACTGTGCTGTGAACCCACTGTAACTTGTTAAACAGTCACTCAGGCTAAGCTTTCTGACAAGTTTTGTTTTAAATGTGAGCAAAGCATGCAGTGCCTTTCTTCAAAATTTACTTGCAGCATGTGCATAAGAGAGCATAGAGCTTGCTGTATAACTATTTCGTACATGTAATTGCTCAGCAAACTTCAGAACAGTTGTGTCCTCTTTAAATGACAGTGCTATAAAAACTAGCCTAGCACTTATGTTTTCATATCAGCATAAAGTCTCCTTGGTAGGGTTAAAATAGCTGACAGTTGACTGACCTCATTTACAAACAAAAGGCAGTTCTTGTGTATTTAAAATGAAATTACTGGGGTTTTTTTTACTAACTAAATAGCTAAAAGTAATCGTTTCAGTGGTTCTTAAGACCTCAGATTGGTTGTGTATTCTGACTAGTTAAAATGGAAGGCACATACTTTTACTATTATACCCACTCTCATTCAGCAGCTATTTCTAATTTGCACCTGTTTATAATAGTGTCAGTTTCCGTTCTAGCCATCCATTATCGTTAGTTGGCCAAGGGCCTGTTTGAGGTACATGATTGCCATCTGTAATGGCTGTCTTCCCTCTCGTATTGCTTGGTGTTCCCTTGAGCACAAGCATTGGTTTGGAATCCTGGTTTGCCACAGTGAGCTGGTAAAGTATACCGTGACTATTTTAAGCTAGAGCTCCACCTGAATGAAACCCCATTGCTGAAATTACATTGCAGCATTTCCTGTTCAACTGTTAAATTTTGTTCTATTAATGTGGTTTAGGCCCCTTGGAAGCCAGACAGATTCTGATCAATTTCTGTTTCATGGTGTAAGTAGAAGAAAAATTGCTGCTTTTCATTTTGTGGCAGATAAAAAGTCAATTTGATTTAAAGTTTTGGGGGTTTAACCAAATGCAGATAATGTCTTCACAAACTAGGGAGATAATATGAAAAGCATGTAAGAAAAGCAAGGGCTATGGAAGTTGCCAGTTTTATCATGAAAAACAACTGGTAACATTAAATAATACTCCGTTTGATTATTGTCCTTGAGATATCTATGTTTTTTGTGAAACAGATATTTGAGGACTGGAGGAAGAATCCTGAGGAAGAACTGTTTCCATTTCTGACCTTTTTTGTGATAATTATGGCTTTTAAACATGCTTGATATTTAGATAAAATGAAAGCTTTGATATGGTTTCCTTTACTGTCCTAATGCTATTGCTGAAATTTGGTACATAATCATGTCTTGTTTAGGCATGATTCACACTTCTGCTACTTGTAGAGCTCTCAAGCATAGTCATTAATAGCATTTTATTTTGGAACACATTAGAACACAGAACTTTTCAACTTTTCTGTCTTCATTGTAAATATCAACAGTGCTATGTTTGAGCACATATGCACTAACAATTTTCTTATGAAAAGTTTCTCAAATAGTGGACAGTTGTACAATTTGTGTGATAGTTCTAGGGAAGCTACATGATGGTAGTTTTGATGGCCCATTTCCCATTCTCCATTTTCCGACACAAACATGTTCTTTTGGATGAGGAAATGAACAATGGGAGTAATTTCCAGCAACTACTCAAGGCACAGCTAGCTATCTTTAATTGCTGGGCACAGAAAATTGTGTTCCAAATTGCACTTTGCAATTTCTTGGATATTCTCAATTCTACTTAAAAATTGCATTATGTAACTAAAATGTGCCACTGTAACATGAGGGTTAATGAGACTGTCAAAGCCTTTTTCTAGTATTCATATCCTAGAGTTTATACTCATAGACTGGAGTTTGCTGTAGTTTGTTCAATCTCTCAGAACTAGAAGTAGTCTGTGAAGTAGAGTGTGAAGTAGAGCTGAAAACTAATAATTTCAGGCTAAGCAATGTGTATCTCAATCACAGCTGTAACACAGGAATTTTGTGGGGTAGGGAGAAGGAAAGGAAATCCATGGGCCACATAAGTGCAGTCACTTAATTTTTTGATTGATTGATTTGTCATTCAACCAGAGATGCTTTTCAGATCTTTAACTGTCCATTCAAAATCCTCTTAAATACTAACATGCTTAAGCCACTTCAGATAGGGTTTCCTGAAACTTTTAAATTGTTTTAAAATAGCCTAGATTGACACTGTTGTGTTCTGAATTGTCTGTTTCCAATACTGTCCAGTATTATTGTCTCCTGATTTATATATTTTCATTAGCTTTTTGCTGTGAAGTTTCCTTCTTGTATTTTAGGGGCATTTCTTATTGATTTGTCCTTGGATTTCAGCTTTTTCTCCTCATCACGTCTTCAGGTTTTTAATCTTGCTTTTGCATGCATTTTGTGTGTTCCCATTTAATTTCCTTTATTGTACCTTCCAGTTTTTGTTTAAAGCTAATGTAGCTAAAATAAATTAGCTCTAATTTCAGATTCCTTCCACTTGCCATCTTCTTTCTAATTCAGATTTGTGACTTCATGTTCATCTGCATGTTTTCCCTCACTCTTATACTGAGCAGTGGAAGGATTTTTATGCAAAAAGACACTTCCTTTTTTTCCCAGTTAAGAGTTTTGGCTTCTTGTTTCATGCCTATGGCAACTAGCCTTTTGTATTTTAATGCACTGGGAGGTGTTTCTCAGGTGAGGTAATCTGTACACAGATGTTCCACTCCTACCGCAGTGGTGTGTCCTCTCTCTTCAAAGCCTTTTCTGACTCATCTGTGTCCCAGTGCAGCATGCTGCAGCTTGCCCCGTTTGGCTGACACCATATATGCTTGTAGTCTCAGCAGTCTTCCTGCAGAAGCTCTGCCCTTTTGTGTGCTGCCTCTTCCTGGAACGAATCAGTAGAGCCCCTGGCTGCTTTCAGCCTCAGGTTGGTGCTGCTGTGGTGTGGTTGACAAGTAAGAGCCAAAGGAAGGAAATACTAATGGCTGCAGCAGTCATAGTGTCTGGTCTCCTTAATGTTGTTTCAAAGTAGATCAAAGCACCTTTTAATATACCGTTGTGTTCTGCTTTACCTTATGGCACTGAGTTGTAGAGTCTTTACTCTGTTGTGGAGAGATTGGAGTATGTGTTTCTGTGTTAACATTTGTAGTATGGGTGGCAACTGTAAGTTGTCGGCTTCCTCAGTCATTTTTAACTTCCTGTTTTGAGAGAGTTGATTTACAGTAGTTAAAGATGTATTAAGTTATTCTGTTAATCTTCTATCTTGAACTTGCTGTACTGCCAATGAGTGGTGTTGTGTTGCTGCAGAATGCATTGACAGGTACAAATGGGATCTCTTCTGGAAGGTTCTCCAGCTAAAGAGGACCTGTATCATTTGGGTCAAACAGTTTGACAAAGAACACCACTTAGCTGTATGAAGTTACTTGTATGTGCTTCATGTATCTGTTCTTTTTCTGATGTTGGGAAAAGGGGAAGAGGTAATAGAGGCATCACTCTGGTTCTTTTCTTAGCCTTGCCCTTGGTCCTTTTAGTTTTTGTAAAATCCATGTTAGGTAAAGCAAGTAAAATTAAGTCTCAAGACTTGAGATTGGCTGTTCTTTGTCAGGTGGGATCTTAAGATCACCGCTTTATCGTGAGACTTTATAATTGCATGATGTACAAGAAACTGTCCTGAAAGAGCTGTTTTGTCACTGCATCAGTGTACATGTGTGTGTTGTAGTGGAGTTGCACGAAATGTGTATGGTGTCAAGTTCTGTCTTTCCTTGTAAGTCATGAAACAAAGGTTGATAAAGGAAAACAGTTGACTGGGAAGAGGTGGGGGCAATATGGGATATATATTTGGTTAGAAAGGGAGGTGGAAAAGAGGGGGGAACTGTGTGAGCCTGGATTGCTTCAGTAAATAAACTACTTGTGAAACAAATTGAACAATTGGGAATTCCTGAAAAGAATGTGTCAAAGCTTAAAATATCAGGTAGAGTTTTGATTAGAACAGTCTTGGAGGTTTGTTGAAGATGCCCCTTTTGTGTGTTTCTCAAAGATGACATGCACTTTCATTTCTTGTCTTTTATACTGGCTACTACTGTAAACTGAATGTGCATGGAACTTCTCACACACAGCAAGGCATGTCAGCTATCCAGAGAACCAGGAGTGAGTCTGGCCTGTACTGGGTAAAAGCTGGCCTTGTTGCCTTTGATGCTTCTTTGTATTGTATAAACATACCTTAGGACAGAAAGGAGTACAGGAAAGTACTAAAAAGACAGTAAATTCAAAATGTTAGAGACATAGTAAATGTTAAACATTACTTTTAATGGTATGGAGATGTCATAAAAATTAAAGAAAGTGGCATCATTGTTTACACAACTGTGATAATTGAGTGACTTTTGTGCTTTTCAAGGATCTTCAGGGCTATAAATACATGAAGGGCTTTTAGCTTTTCTTTTGGGTTGAGTGTCCAATTGTAGGCATTTCTACAAAATTAGTTATGACAGCATGATATTGGACAAAGCATAAACCCCTTGAACTACAGGAAGTGGCAGTGACTATTTGGACTGTTACAAAGAGCTTCAATTTTATTTTAAAACCTGGCAGCTAATAAATATTTTCTCACCTGGTTCTGCAAGCATAGTTTGCTAATTTCAGTGTTAGAGGGAAGAGTGTTTTGGAGCTCACTCTTAATAAAGATCAGTGTTTTGAGTAGAGTGATGGTCTTATAAACACAAGCTTTTGTAAGAAGTTAACTTAATGGTAGTAATTACAAAAAGAATCTCTAAAAGCTATTATAACACCAACAGTTCAAGTTCTAGAATTACAGAGGAGAGATGAGATAATCTTGTAGAGAAAGTTGTGGGAAATAACTTCTGTGTTTTAATGTCATTGGCATAAAGAGAAGAACTTCTGTTGTCTATTTGGTATAGAAGCATGTTTGATTAGACTGTCAGATGTTCCTATGTGACACTGGAATACAGTCATTCACTTGGAATATGAAGTCTGTCATTACTCTAGAAGAAATGCTTGTTTAGCTGATTCTACGCATGCATAATCTCTAGTTAAGAGTTATGTCTTGCAATTCACTTTTGTCTTTTGCTGAACCACATTCCCAACTTTGGTTCTAGTCCAAAGTAAGGCTTAAAGTTCCCTATTTTGAGTGTGTGATTGGTTATGACTTTTCCTTTGATCTGTCTGTTGAGTGAGGAGAAGCTTTCAGCTAAATTTCTAGAGTTATTAAACTGGATTACTACTTTCTTCAGTCATGGAATGTTGATGTTAAAAAACATGAATGGAAATGCTGACAGACAAAGGCTTAAGTATATCTGGCAAAACAGTTTGATCTCATTGTTTCTTTCTACTCTCCTGTGTGCATTATTTCTTTTTCCTTGTTGCTAATGCTTGTATACCTCCTTAGGACAGAGATAGTTCCTTTTTCTGTGTTCAAAGAGAATGAAAATATCAGGTACTAGGATAGAAATAATAAATAAAAATAAATTCTTTATTGTTCTAGGCTACTAAAACAGTAGTTGTGTTTTGTGTATTTTAGCACTGCTCCTTGGCTATTAAGATGTTTATTGCTTCCTTTGCTTAGGAAAACAAGAGTTCTCTATTGCATAGTGTTTTAATTTCTTTCAGGTGAATCTGAAAAGATTAATCATCATTTCTACATTTATGTGACAGTGAAATTGTCCATATACATAACGTGTCTGAAGTTCTTGGTAGCCATATGTTATCACTTTTATGCTTTATCCAAAAGAGTTAATTTTAGGGTCAAATCTGTGCTTTCTTTATCTTTTGGGATTGTACTATAGTGTAAATAGAGTGTAAAACGATAAATAGCATACTGTGTGGTGTTCTGTTGCATGTCTGCTCTTATGCTCATTTTGTCTGTCCTCATAAATTATATTTTATCTCTCTTTTCCAGGTTGTATACGTCTCCAAAGAAGAAACTGAATCCAGTGCAAAAAAGTGTCAGTCCTTTAGTTTGGTGCAGACAGGTATTGGATTACCCAAGTCCTGATGTTGAATGTGCTAAGAAGTCACTGATCCACAAGCTGGAACAAACAATGTCAGGTGAGTTTCTGCACACTGAAACCACTGGGTTGTATGTGTATATTCTGAAACAGCATCAAAATTAGCTAATGGTTGTGAGATAAAATATCTATTAATTACTTGTGTCTAAAGCTTTCATTATGATTTACAAAGTCATTAATTCTACTCATTTTCTGGATTGTATGAATGAATTGAAAGAAGGCATTAAATCATGAGTCATGATTTCAGAGTTTTGTAATACCTCCATAGTTTGGTCTGATGTTTTCAGGAAAAAACAATGTTTTTAACTCTTTTGTTTTCTCTTTTTTTTTTTTAATAGAAGTCTGTAATAAGGTATCATAATTGTTAGGTACTTGTCAGTGTGTTAGCATGAAGTTTGATTTTCTGATAAATTAATTATTTTACTTCATCTAAAGAAATGGAGGCCTAAGTTTTTCAATACTTTGGGGAAATGGTATTGATTTATTTTCCCCATTCCCAGTAACTTTAAAAATCTGACTGTAATGAGATCTTAAAAAATCCAGAGTTTATGATTCTTCCTTAATACTAATTAGTTGGATATATTCAAAACTGAAGAGTGTTTGACCCTGTGAGAATGAAAGCCTGCATTCTCCATCCTCCTATTACCAGACTTTTTTATGTCAAACCAGCAGCAAAATGCTGAAGGTTTGATTAGAATTCTCTGTCCACCTGGTTTCAGGCTTTGTTTTGTTTCTTTGTTGGAGCCTATTTTTTTTTTTAAATTGTTGTGAGACAACTTACTTTCTTGCTTTTAATAGCTATTCTCGTCCTGTTCCATCTTTTTGTAGTCTGCTACTACTACATGTTAAACTATTATCTTCAGGAATTAGCAGAATAGTTGGACTTGAGCTAAGAGTGTATGAACACACAGTTCCAGGAGTGGTTCCAACAGCCACCTCCTTTCTGTGATTATACATAAATTTTATGCTGAGTTTATTTGACTGTAACTTCTTTCCTGTCCTTGTATTGTTTTCTGGAGCAATTTAGTCCTTATTCTGGTTTGTACTGAATTTGTTCTTAGTAAAATATAAATCCATTTTTTATTCTTACAGAAATTGTGGGCGTAGTGGTGGAAGTGCCTTCAGTATGAGTCACCCTCAATCTTTCCCTATTTCTTGTGCTTTTTTATGCTGCCTGGACAAAAGTCTGTTAAAAATTTACCTGAAGAGTTAACATGATATATGACTAGATACAGGCAAAGACAGATTCTGAGCAACAAAAAGCACTCACATCACAGAGATTTATGAATGATGCTAAATGTTTGGGAATCTGAATACTACTGAGTATTTATGAATGGATAGCAGTTGATTGACATAATTCTGTTTGTGGTTTCACTTCTTTCAGAATTGAGTAGAAGTCTTCCAGAACTACCACTAATTCTGTTACCCACAGGGTATCTTTAAAAATTCATAGCTGAAGCAGAATGGCAGGAAACTTCTCTATCAAATGAATATATTTGAAAGTTTTAACATTCAAAGAATGTGTTTAGGTAACTTCACCTTTTGTTTTGTTTTCCCCTAGACCTGTGAATCTGCTTCTGGCAGTGATACTTGCAAGAATACCACAATTAATTTATAGTAATAATTGGTGGAAGTACTAATGCTAGGAAAGATGGGCACATGCTGGTTGGAGCAGATTCATGTAAACGTGAATTTTCAACAAAACAGAAAATTGTCTTTTAGAGCCATCAGCCTCCTTTACAGAATAAGGGTAGCAGGTAGCTCCACTGGAGAAGACAAGTAGTGTTTCTTGTAACTTTGTTTCTCCTATCTACACTTCAGGAGTATCCTATAACTTGCATTTTGCATAGTACTTGTACCGCAGGGACCCATCACTTAACCTGTTACTAGCTACTGGTTCAGTTAATAGATTCTAGTCTCCATGGATAAGGCTTTTCATACTTCTATAACTTTTTCCTGAATCCTTGCTGATGCTTCTTTGGCATTGACTCTTTTTACATTGTTAGTTCCTGTTGTTACGTCTTTCTAATCTTAATCTTTTTCCTCTTTTTCATTCTCAAATGCTCTCTTGTATTTCACATTTTCTTCTTCTGTTGTATTTTCATTGCATGACAATAAAGGAGAGAGGAGCTCTCAGCTCCATGCTACTGTTAGCAGTTACTGATGCACAATGCCTTGTCAGCAGTCAGGTTTACCATTGCAGAGCAAGTCATGCTCAGTGTTGGAAGTGTGTTCAGACTAGAGGGAACTTCATGTATATTCTGCGCTCAGATTTCCTATTTTCTACAGCAAAAGAAAAATTCAATACCATTTCAGCAAAATCATACCTAAAAGGAGTTAGATACTGCATATGGTTTCTGAATGTTATAAAAGAAAATTTACGTTAAAATAAACTTGTTGATTATCAAACCTCCCTTCTGGTGTTTCGAAAGCTAATGCATAATCTTTTGTAAGCTAGTGTTCAATATTAGGATCATTTTAATGCTAAAATTATTAACTGTCTTGCTAATTTTGTCTGACACTTCTAATAAAGACTGTATCTCAAACTGCAAAAATAGCGATGTCTTCCTGAGTTACAGAAATCCCTGCTGGAAAACCTTCAGGAATTCTGGTCCAGAAAATGGTTTTGAATCCAGATGTTTTTTGTCTGGGAAAACGTGCTGATGAAGGTTCACATTAGCTACTGTGAAAACTACTCTGTGTATCAAGTCTCACCACATACCAGAGCAAACTTTTTACATGTAGCAAAGTCACTAAATTTAATCCAAAAAACTCTGTGTACGATCAAATACTTTGTATCATTATGAATGTAGACAAAGAGCCTGTTTTGAAGACCATATAGTAGTAGAATTGTTTTCTAATTTGTGGTCAGTATTTTAAAATACTTGTCTGTGTAATAAATAGAAAAAAAAGAACTGTTGTGCAGACTTGCATTTTAGGGATTTTTAATGACCTTTTTTTGGCAAGAGATGAAAAGTAATTTTTTTTTGTGTGTGAGAACAAAGATTCAATTGCAATAGATGCTTTGGGGTTCCTTTGTGAATGCTAGAAGTTTGATATCAAAAGGCCTCATCATAGTCACCCAGAACAGAGTGACTTTTAATTACTGGTTTTGTTTAGTGAGCTTTGTTATCAAATGGAGGTTTTCCCTTCTGACACACAAACTGAAGATACCTCATAAATACTTGCCAGAATTTAGTGAATTCACAATTTGATGAAATTAACGCATATTGTTTTAAGACTTGCAGTGAAAGCTGGAATATAAACCTTTCATCCTTCATCTATAACTGTCTTTTCATTCTAACTAAAACACTAGTAATATGAACTGGTTTAGAAAGGATCTTTACACGAGATGCAATTTTAGGAATTTGAAAGTCAGCGTTAATTTCTGCTGCTTTTGCCTCTGTGCTGTATTCTGCTATTGGTTAGGTTGGATGTTGTGGTTATTTTGGGGCACTCTTAAATTAGATGAGGCAGTCAAATACTCCTGATATTTTTTCACCTAAATCTACTTTAGTAGGTCAGATAATAGTGCAGCCCCACCAATGTTTGCACTGGACAACTGGAGATTGGTGACCAAGAGCAAAGGGGAGAAGCCAAAGCTTTGCTAGGCTTGGCTGCTGAAAGCAGCATTTCATGTAACTGTAGTCTGTTTTGGCTTCTAATGTCAAAGCAACAGTGATTTTTAGTAAGGAAATTTGAGTTCCTTTCCTTTTTTTTTTTTTTCTGTCCACTGTTATCAGTAGCCTAATTCTTACTGCACTCATTGAAGTCCCTTTTCACTAACAGAAATGTCACACAATATTTTTTAATAGCTTACTTTCAGCAGCTGGGTGAGCTACAATTAAATCTAATCTGGATTTACATAACATCAAGTTGGCCTTTCTAGCTTTTTTATCTTAACACTTTGCAATTTAATTTGTCCTTATATATACTTCTGCATTAATATACTTCCAGCAGTGAAGGAACTGATTTATAGCAAAACTGTCTTAAATATCTTTTGGATCCCACTACCCCTGTAGCTGAAATTCCATTTTATGTTATATTTTAAATGTAAACTTTTGAACAAAATAGTTAAGTAACTAAACAAATAATAAATACCCAACAACCAGTGGAATTTCAGTATCATACTGTTCACTACTGTTAATACTCACCAGTGTTTAAAATTCATCTGAAAATACTTAGCATCGAAACATTTACAATAAATGGCAGAGGAAAGTACCCAATTTAGATCTTATATTGTGTATGAGATTGAAGCCTATGGTCAGAAAATCCCAAGTCATTAGAACAGAAAGTTAACAGTAGGAAATAATCAATTTGCTTTATTCTGATAGGTTCATGGTACCCACAGATCTATACAGAAGCATTTGCCTTACTTAATGTTTTTTCATTTTAGCATATGCTTAGGGAAATTTTGTAGGTGATACTGCTTAGTTGTGTGGTGCTGTCTTGGGGTTACTGCTCAAGTATTGTGTGATTCAGACAGGTCTGAGAGTTCTGAGAATGTGACTTCGTGCCGTGCTCTGGTGTGGATGTAGTTATGTATATGGTGTATGTTAGTGTAACTGAGCTACTGCTGCCTTCCTGCTTCCCATCACCTACACTGGACATTTCAAAGACATCAGCTATAGTGATCTTAGATCTGACTTCTAAAAGGAAACTGTAACTTGTCACTGTCTTGTCTTGCCCTCTTCTCCCACTCTTTCACATTATGGTTATACCTCGGAGTGAAGAAAGCAGTGGCAAAACTTTCTGGTGACTGAAATTTTCTACTTGAATTGCATAGTAATTAAATCACACTGAAGACACAATATAGTATTGTATTTGTTTTTCCTCATTTCATTCAGTATAATTTATCATTTTCCCCTTTCCTGCAGCTCTCAAGAGACAGAGTTTGTACAGCAGCCCTTTCAGTGCGGTCAGTTATGCGAGTTCCTACAGTCCAAATACTGGTAGCCCCTACAGCAGTGGCTTCAACTCTCCCTCCTCAACACCAGTGAAATCTGCTTTAGTGAAACAGCTCATACCTCCTGGTACCTCAGGTAACTCACTGTGTTCATGGTCTTTTCCTTTCTTCCTCCTCTTCCTTCACAAATGTGCTCAAATAGACAACATTTGTATTGAACTAGAGTAAGAAAGACTCAAGAACTTTCCAGTGTTTTATAGGATGTGTGCATCATACAATTTTAAGCTTCTTAGGAAAGGCTTTTTTTACATACTTTCTGGCATGAGAAACATGTAAAATGTTTTCTTTGGGTGTCTATGTCCCAAAAATTACTGATGTATGTGATTAGCAGTTAGACCAAAACACCAGAGTTCATTCTGTGGAGTTCCAAGTGGCTTCTGGAACTGACCCTGTAATTGACAGGGGTGTAAGTTCCATGGTGGATGTTCAAAGGTTAGGGGTTGGTAGTTGTGAAGTCTTTTCAACTATCCTGTTATTTACTAACTGAAACATTTGGTATGCAGTGTATTCATCAATACCTCTGAGATATGAACAGTATAATATAAGGAAGAAGCATGCATTCTAGTTAAGTATTCCATGAGACTTTGTAGCCATCAGTGTAAAAATTAACTTCTGATTATGTTTTCTAGTTTTATTCTACACTTTTCTTTGCATGAAAAAAATTGTTGCCTGGAACGTATTTCTGCTCTGGGTTATTGCATATCATTTAAGTTAGTTTACCGGAAAGATGAAAAAACATTGCAGTGACAATCCAGCTATTACTACTTCACTGTGGACTTTTACTGAAGCCTGCACTACATGAGAGCCATCACCCAGTTTTTGGTTTAATTTTGGTAGCTTGGTGCTACAATGACATGTCTGCCTGGGGGACAGAGATCTAACAGGCAGTGGGAGGACTGAAGGCAGCAAACAGAGTTTTTCTTTGTTATGGTTTCCATGTTGAGCAAAGGTGTGTATGTGCAACAGGCAGTATCTTCAGATAAAGTAATATTTTAAGCATTCCAAACTGAATCAATAGTCATTGGATCAGCAAGACATTATTGTTAAGAAAGATCCAGTCAAACTTATTTCTTACAAGGTAGTATACACAGGTAAGAATGAAAGCACAGATGGAACCAGGTATGCACTTGCTCTTTTTGTAGAGCTGTCCAAACTTCATAGCAGTTGAGACATGCTATGATAGACCAAATTATTTGCCACTAGTTTGTTTTGAGATTATTGCAATGATTTTATAGAATTGCTTTTTAGAAGGTAATGGCTGAGGTGTGCTTTTGTAAGTTACATTTTCAGCCTAGGTTTGCAATAAAATAATCAAATGTTTCAAATGGTTTGCCAGATCAATGTCTCAGTGGCAATTTCTTCAGACTGGCGGCTTTTACTAGGAAAGGAAATGCAGGTTACTTTTTTTTTTTTTTTTTAAGTAACAACAATCCTGTTACTTTATTTTTTTTCCATAGGTCACCTTAAAATTTCAGGAGATAGAAATCCTCCACTAAGTCCACAGTCTTCTCTGGACAGTGAATTAAGTGCATCGGAGATGGATGAAGACTCTATTGGGTCTAATTACAAGTTAAATGATGTTACAGATGTACAAATTTTAGCACGAATGCAGGAAGAAAGTAAGTGGGTTTTTTTTTTCCTGAAATCAAAGTAGAGCTGTTGTGTTGTTTTTTTTTTTTTAATAACTGCAGTAGCATTTGTTTAGTAAGCATGGAAAAGCAGTATAATTTCTACTGTGGATGTACAAATGTAATTTGCCCAAGAAAGCTGTTAAGGACTTCAGCCTCCAGGCTAAGGAAAGGAAGCTGCTGTGTAGAAGTTTTCTTTAGGAACAATGGACAAGACAATGCTGGAGAGAATGAATTTGTAAGGTACAGTATTTGCTAAAAGGATGATTGTTAGAATGGACTACTGCCTGCCACCATTCTTCTCAGGAGACTGGTGTCTTCCTGATGTAATCCAGTCTTGTTCACATCAATGCTTAAACCATAATTTAAATCACCAAAATGTAAAGTCAATATGGCAAAGAATTATTAAGAAAAGTGCCTATATAGATGTCTGTCTTTTTAGCTTTAGTTGAGACTTTATGTCCCTCTGAATGTGTAGAAAGTGGAAATAATTTTGACTGTCTAACTACATGGTCTCCAGACTACTGTGTATCCTTATCAGTGAAAAACCCAAAACCAAATGCCCAGTGTATGTACTTTTTAATAAATTATAGACGTATATTACTCTAATGTATAAAATAGACAAAAATACACAAATATACACAAAATTATTGTTTTAAAAAGCATGAGATAAAGCCATGATAAATGCTGTTTTAAAGACACTAGTTATTCAGAATTTTCTTGCTGTATGCCAGTGGATTGGTTTGCTTATCCCCAGGGTGTGGGTGCCACACTTCAGAGACCACTGATCTGACACCTCCAGTTTCTCTAGGAGTAGCTTATTGTGTTGCTTTTTTGGTTGGATTCACTAATACATTGCAAGAGACATTTCATTGTGGCTGCTATAATTGTTATAGGATGTTACTTGATACCAAAATTATGAGGTAGCCTGTGTTGCTAGTTGCAGCCTGGGAGAGGAAATGAACAAATGCATACACAACAGACCTATACGCATGATTGCTTGACTAGGAAAAGGAATGAGCTCACCTAATTGAAGTCATTATTAGCTGGTAGATAACTTTTTGGTACTAATCAGAATTTATTTAATGCCTCCAATAACAGGAGTTAAGGTGAGCCAAATTTGAGAGCTGTGAAGGTATCTGTGGGCACTGTCTCTAGTTTGAACCATTTGTGGGCTGGAAACAAGTAAACAACATTCTTCTTGTTGCCAGGCCTGCGGCAAGAGTACGCAGCCACAGCTTCTAGGCGTAGTTCTGGCTCCTCTTGCAATTCCACCCGGCGAGGCACATTCAGCGACCAGGAGCTTGATGCACAGAGCTTAGAAGATGAGGAAGATGGCACACATCACACAGTGCACCCTGCTGTTAGCAGGTTCTCACCATCACCTCGCAGTTCTCCCTGGCCTTCACCAAAACAATCTCCAAGAAATTCACCTCGCTCACGATCACCTGCTCGAAGCATAGAGTACAGTAGAGTGTCACCGCAGCCTATGATTAGCCGTTTACAGCAACCTCGTCTTTCGCTTCAAGGCCATCCTACAGACTTGCAAACTAGTAATGTCAAAAGTGAAGGTAAAAATCTGTTTGAAATTCATTACGTGAGTAGTTGTGTAGTTTCTGTAAAGGAGTTTTGTCAGTGTGCAGTCCTAAAACTATGTGGCTGTGTAACATTGTGGTTTAATCTCTGAATTGCTGAAGAAATCGCAGAGCAAGCAAAGCTTAAGTTCTGCTGGGGCACCCTTACAGTCAGATGAGTTGATAGGCTTATATTTATTTTAGATGTTATCCAGTCAGTGAGTATAATTGAGTTTCATAGTGACCAAGGTCTATATTTGGCAGGCAAATGCACTAAAAGCAGGGAAGCTCATTGACTAGTAGAGTTAGACCTTGCAGATGACAGAACAAAATGCAGAGGAAAGTAACTGTGGTCAGATAAGAGTAACATGGCGATTTATAAATGCCTATAGCCTGTGAGGCAGCTGAATGCTTTCTTCTGGTTGCACAGGACTCTGAAACTTTTCAATCATTAATATAGTCTTAAAAATGTTAGTACTTAACTCATGCGTTTGTTGAATATTTTAGATATCTCAAAGCTGTGAAAACTGCTGCGTAATAAAATTTGGAGTAAATTCAATGCAGTTATACTATATTGGCATAGAAAAAAAATAATACAATCCTGATACAACTTTTCTTCTTGAATGTACTTTTTCCTAGTAGCAATCTAGCAGAAACTCCTTCTACTGGGATGAAAATTTGCAAGGATGTTCCCATTTCAACAAACATAGTTTTTATCCAGCAAGTAAGATCTTAAATTTAGAAAGAAAATACATTTAGATATTAAGAATTCCCCTTACTATTAATAGTGGCTTGGGGAAATTTTAGGTATCTAGAAAAATGTGCACCACAAAAGTTAATTATACCGTAACTTAATTGAGAATTCCTTTCCTATTGATTTCTTAAAATTAAAGTCTTAATCCATGCTAGATGGGCTGCAATGAAAATATCCTAAGAGAGGAATGGTACCAAAAGCTAGTATCCCACATACCAGACGGATCAAAATAGAGTGTGATCGTGCATTTCTGAAGCACTTCCAAGTAGTTATCTTGCAGTGGTTTCTGTGCAGTTGAGTGTTGCTTGGATATTCAGAGTTGATACAGCAGCAGCCAAAAAAAGTTGTTCAGGTTTTCTTTTTTTTTTTAAATATTCTTTTTCTAGAATGGTTGGAGGGAAATTTGGTTGACAGGGTTCAACAATGTACCAAGTGCAGTGCAAAGGAATGCAAACTACAAAGTGAAGAAAAGTACACTTGTTGGAATATTCAGCCAATAAAGACTTAGTTTTGTTTTCACCTTTAGTGCTTATGCATGGTTAACCTACTTCTTCACTGCATCCCTCTGCAGAATCAGGTTGGCCACCCATCCTGTCAAGGCATCTTCAGTCTTCTACCCAAAGTATGTCATCAACCCAGCTCTGCAATCTCTGCAATTTGGGTTGGAGATACATAGAATGTCATTAGAATTGAGAAGTACTTAATGGCATCTTTTCCTGTTCTGTGAACAGTGGTACAAATATTAGAAGGCCCCTGAAATATCAACATTAGCTGAATAGATAAGTCAAGTCATATGTGAAAGATGAAGCATAACTGGACGCTTCAATAATTTTGAATGCTGTGTATGAAGTGGTCCTTTCCAGAGGTATCTGGGTTTTTTTTGTATAATGGACTGATATGGGACAAGGTAGTCTCAAAAATTTACTCAAACATCTATGTTGTTTTTGTCTTAAGGCAAGCATTTTGTTACAAATAACTTTCTAAGCGAATAATTTGAAAACTCTGCAAAACTGCAAATTAGGTTTGTCTGTTCAGCTTTGATAACAATACAATAAAACCCAGAGAATCACAATCCAGATATGTTTCACTTTCAAAACACAATATGCTTGACTTTTTTCACGATAGGTGAAAAATGTACGTTCTTACTTTTTTAGATACATAAATATTTTGCATGTGATAGATTTGAGAAGAAGTAATGTAACAAAATATACTTTTAAACTGCAGTGTAGTTTTATATGTCTAACGTTTTGTGTCACTTACATTTGGGGTTCAACTATGGGTTCACAACCTGACCTTTGTCCAGCATCAGACGTTGTGGTAACTTTGTATTATTTCATACAGAAAAACTAAGGCGTAGTCTTCCAAACTTGTCCAGGACATCTAACATCCAAGCAGAGTCTGTGAAAAACAGCAGAAGTGACTCAAACTTCCAAGTGCCAAATGGAGGAATACCTCGCATTCAACCTCAAGCCTCAGCCAGTAAGTACCTTTAGTACTACTTCAGTGTAAAATTCAGAATTAAGCGACGGTATTCGGCTGTCTTCTGAAGTCTCAGGGCAAAACAAAACATTGTTTGCCATACTGGAGATGCTAATCTTCATTTTTAATCAGACTTTTGTGACTCTGTTTTTATGGTACAGAAAATACTCAGAAAAGTTCTGGTTTCTTATTAAGATATCATTCATAGTTTCCTCCTAAAAGTATATGTAGAAGTAACATGAATTATGAATACAGTATTTGGGAAAACAGTCTGAAACTGTTTTCTTTATAGGCTCTGAAAAAACACCTAGATGATGTTTATTGCTTTTTTTTAAACTAGTGAAACATGACCTGAAAGGATTTATTTCAGTTTAACCCTTTAAGTTATTAACCCGTCTGCAGTTTCTTTTTTTTTTTTTTGGCACATGGGTTATATATCCAGTTGGCAATCTTATTTAAGTGTCAGTTACTTCCTAAAAAAGGTTTGGATGAACCTGTGTCTCATAAAACATATTAGCCCATTGCCGGACTCCTACTTTCCTAGTTTCTCCAAAAGTTAACTGCTGATATGAAAATGCTGCTATTCTCACAAATCTCTTGAAAATGGTGACCTTAAAGAAGCCAAAGCAAATAAAAATTAAATATTCAGTGTTTCTTTATATGTCAGTATTACCAGTTCCTGTTGTTTAAATATTTCCTGACCATTTCTTTTAAAGCAGGTTTCTGAATTTAATAACTTTGTGTGACATTTTCAAGGGAAGAACCCATGATGAATATTTTTATGTGTAGAGCTTTAAACTGTAAAAATTCTGTGATAAAGGTTCATCAGTAATCTAAATATTTGACAGGAAATGTAAAAATAATGTTTGTGAATTTAACTAGGAGTATTTTACCTATAGAACAGTAAAGGCATAGTGGCATACCTGGCTGGTTGTCTTAAAACTTTCAAAACAATGTGTTAAAGCTTCCAAGTATAGTTAAATACAGAATAAGGAATAGAGATCAAGCCAAAGACTCCAAGATTTCTGTGTTTGTACAGACTTAGAGCAGATGTAAGGATTGTATGGACAGTCACTCCCAGGTGTGTGATACTGTAGTAGATAGAAGTTAGTGTGACTTTACCGTTCTCGTGTAAGTTACTCCAGCACCCTTGCACCTTGGCCCTCTTCTTCCACCTTTTTCAGACACTCAGAAAGTGGGATTTCCAGCAGAAAGGATGTTTGTGTAGTTCAAATGCACGACTGTTACCTCTTAGGCAGCCTTATCAAAGTGTAAAGCACTCAGAGCAGTTGGACAGCTGGTTTACAGCTGTGCTATTTCAGAGATAGGAAGAATTATCAAAATGAGCTGAAAGAAAATTAACGAAAACATATTTTTAGTAAAAATATCTACAGATTTTATTTGGTGCTTTAGAATTGAGTGAACTGGGACAGGAAGAGCATAGAGAGCAACTTAGCTAGAAGGCTATTTCCAGAATTAAAAGTACATTAATGATTAAATTTTCTGGAAAGATGAGACAACAGAAGTCTCAGTATTCAATATTTAGTAAATTATTTCATTGCAGGAGCAAAAGTGGTCTGATTGTGTTTATTTTTTTCAACTTGCGGATGCATTAAGAATTACTAGGTAAATTTGCTTTTCTTTCATAGACAATTTCCCCAAATGTGAACCACTCTAGATCAACTTACATTTAAATGTAAGTTAAATATCATTAATAAAGGTCAGATTTCTAGCTTTTACAGTTTCCCTGCTCTTACAGATGTTTGTCAGAGTCTTGCTATTGACAATCGTAAAACGGTTTGTGTGTGAAGTCAATGAGTAAGTATCTTTGCTTAGTCTGGATTAAAAATTTTTCTGCAATACTGTACATTGTATAAAGATTTCCAGAATTGTGTCCTTTTTATTGTATACTTTTTATTTTATTGGTTTTATATTTTGTCACTTTGCACAAAGCACTGTTAAATCGCAGCAAATTTTTGTTTTCCCTTGGCAATGATTTCTGGGTCTTGGGATTTGAAGCTTCCTCATACACCTGCTAGTTTTGCATGAGCTTACCTTTGCGAGGATGCTGGCTTGCCACCCGAGGTCACTACTTTGCTCCTTGTCAAAGATTTGCGGTTCATAATTTACTTGCACATTTGCTGTGGCTGCAATACTGAACTTGCTATGGTTGCTGGCATTCAAAAATGAGCTAGGAATCCAGTAAGTTTCTGAAATGACAATTCCTCTTACAGTTTTATAGCCAAATTGTATTTGCTCGCTTACAGAAGAGAGAGAAGACACATATGATTTGTTTAGAGGTACAACTGCAAACATGAAAACATTGGCATTTTAACTTTTAGCTGCAATGTAGTGAACAATCCAAATTGGTTTTGAAGAGACATTGAATTAAAAAGCAATTGTAACAATTTGAATCTTAATTTACATCTGATTCTCCATGCCATTCTGCAGAAGTTACTTTTTTTAAAATACGAAAGCTAGTAAATATTTCACCTTAAAACACTTACGGTAATGTGTGTGTTCCCCAAGGAATAGGTATTGTCTAAAGTGTTAGTGATGGGAAATCTTCTTGTTTGGGTCCTATACCACATAGATTGTACAAAGCTCTAGAAATTGTAAGGTGACTTCCATGTAAGGGCTACCTGCTTTTGGATTCTGTGTGATGCTTTTGTACTTAGTGGCACTATGAGCACTTGGATGCTTTTAAGAAGAGCTAAATACAAAACCTTCTCGAAGAGTTGTAGATTCTTCAAACTGTCAGTAAAGTGACTGATCTGCTTGCCAAGATCCAACTGCTTGGCCTGTTCAGAGTAAAAGGAGGAAGAGTAAGTTTTGAAGAAACCAAGTAATGCAGTTCTGTTGATCAGAAGTAAATGTGACTACATGTGTTCAGCAGGCAGCAGTTGTGACAGGTAATGTCACAGCACACGGAGCACTTCAAGAGCAGCAAGTGGTGTGGATAAACATGCACTAGGCGCTTATCTCAAACTGCATGTTTGCTCAGCATTGCTTAAATTGTACTGCCTAAGCTCTGTTCAGTGTTTCAGTGCACAGAAATGTTTTGCTATTGAGTGTCTATTTCCTGGAGTCTCCATTGAGAAGGAAGGAATTTGATATATGCACATTTAAAATCCTTTCCACATTATCCCATCTCTCTGACTTGCAAGAAGTGTGAATAATGATGGGGGAAGAAAGTGCCATGTGCAGTAGCATATTGAAATCTGAGCAGATTAGGAAAAAACATATTCAAAATATGAAGGAAGAAGCTTTTCTTCATTTTGTGTGGTATAACAAAAACAGTGATTCAGTAGAAAATAATAAAGTGGAATACTTGACGACTGAAGCAGTCTGGCCAGTGGTCTGCCTCAGTAAATTTCTAGGAATTGTACTCATATTTAGAGACCTTACTCTGCTTAATTGGCTGTTCATATGTATGCTTTAAAAAAAGTTTCTAGGAAGACCATGTGCCAGTTGAATAAGAATTACATATTGCCACAGGCTATTTTGCATTAGACTCTAGTTGATAGAAGGAATAAGGTTTCTATTAGTAGTAGGCACAGGCAGAATTTTACTGTGTTTATGAACAAACTAATTCCTTTTTCCTGTTTGTTGAACATGACAGTTATAGTTAGTTATTAGGACTAAATTGAATAGACTGTCTAGTCATAATTTCAGCATGATGTTAAAACACATTATTAATTTTTTATAGTTCATAAAATACTGTGTATTTTGCACTGACTGAAGCATAGGAAAGGTGATAGTAATCATTATATGCTATCAAACAAAAGGATTAACTAATATTAGGATTCAAATTGTTCCCCCCCCCCCCACCTTCTTTATAGCAGTATTCAGTAATTGGTGATGGGATTATTCCTTACTCAGGGTCAGGATCTTTTTGTACAGCTGTTCCCCCATCTTTCTTCCTTCTCACTATGGAAATAAGCCTTGCTAGTGCAATCAGTTTTATGCTGGTATAAAACTTCATACACTGAGATAAGCACAGATGTTTATTCATACATTATCATTTTATGAAGTCTCTGTGTAGTCAAAGCTTTATTTCATTGACTACTTTCCTCCTTCTCCCCCTTAAATGTGCTGCAATGGAAATAGGCTGAGTCAATGCATTCCTTCTGGCAATAAGTAATTCTCTCCCATGCCAAGATTCTGCAGTTCTTGGAACATTGGCTTCTCTCTTGGTAACTAGTAGGTAGTGAGGTCATTTCAAGGCAGTACCAGCCCTTGAATGTTACTGGATAAAAGGCAGGACAAGGGAGAAAAGGAGCAATAAAAACCAATTTCCATCGTGCTAGGTACATGCTGGCAGTTCATATATCTTAAAAGTGTTAAGTCTTCATTTTAAGCTTAAGTCTTCTCGCATTTGAAGAGGGGAGAAAAAATACATCTCTCAAGAAGGCTTAATTCTCCACAGCTGAAGAATACTATTTGTTTATATGATGATCATATTAGACAAATATTTATGCTTTTGTATAGTGTTAGAATATTTTTTTGAAAACAATTTTAAAATCAAAAAATTAGTCTTGCTAGGTCAAATACAACAGTTTAATTTTCATCTATATCTAATCTTGCTCTCATATTGCTGTAGCATGTTTGCTAGGTGGCTTGTTCTCCCTTTGGTGTTTTAATTTTTGTTTTGCATTTCTGGGCTTTTTGCCCTGCAAGAAGCTTTACTCTTACCAAATCTGCGCATTTTGCACCGCAAAATTTCTGACACGCTCCTGTGCAACTCTTTGCAATTACGAGCAAGCACCATTGACAAAATTCCATCACTTCCAGAGTCATAGCAGCTTTTTGAGTGTTCTACTCACACTGTTCCTTGATGCTTCACAAGTGGATACAATTCTGAAATTCCCAGTAAATTTAGTTTTCTTATCTTCTTAGACAAATATAACACTTCTTGTCTTTCAACAGCTCTGCAAAGGCAGAAAAATTTGCCTCGTGCTGCCTTCAAAACCAAACAGTTTCTTCAAACTCCATCTACAAAAGGAGGTAATTAACTTACAACCTCTTGTCAAGCTCCAGCAAATCTCAGATAATGGTTCACCTGCATTAAATCTCACATGTTCTAGATTAATAAACTTGCTCTTGCAAGTACTGTAGAAATTAACCAAGTGGTCCTTGATGTATGAAAGTTATCTTCTTGGTCTAAATATTGAAAATAAACTCTGTGTTATATAGGAGATTGAATTTTGAGCTAAAAATCCAAGGAATGGTGACTTACTAACATTAATCAGGAAATACAGATTTAAAAAGTAGACACCTAAATACATATTCACTAGGCCTATATTTGGATAGGAATTTTTAAAATAAAAAAATACAGTTTTAAAAAACAGAAATAGTAAAAATACTCATAGAATCCTTTGTGCTGGGAACAAAAGCTAACAAATTTATCCTTGAAAAGATGAGTGTAGACTATCAACTTATTTTGCATGTACTTGGGCTTTCTCTTTTCCTAACCAAACCAGAAGATTAATCCCAACATAGATGAATCAAGGTTTTTTGACTCAAGGAATTAGATACTCTTGTATATAATATTCCAGTTTGCTAATGGCTGAACTTGACTTTACACTTGAGACTAATTAATAAGCTTGTAGATGCTAGAATCTTTTAAGTGTTGTGAGAGTCATGGGTGCAGACATGAGGGGTTGACAGAATGTACATGTTTCTCTTGGGGCTTCAACAGTGCCAACTCCTTAGAGTCATCTTCATGCCATGCAGAAAGTTTTAGCAAAGTATGATGCCTGTGAAACAGATTGACATGTCTTAAAAGGAAGTCTCTTAACAGTTTTCATACTTCATACCAGATAAAGTTCTCACAATGTTCTGCTTTGCATAAGACCACCATCACTATTTCTCTGCAGAGCTTTCTTTGCTTTCTTTCCAGTTGTCCATGCCCTCCTCTGGATGTCTGGAACACTTACTAGGTCAATGGCTAAACCTGTAGGAATGTACAGAAAATTAGTTGTTCTTTGAATTTATATTATTTGTAAAAATTTATTAAACTTTAGAGAATGAGGAACAGTGCACATTGCACTGCCGTTATATATTCCAGTTTATGGCTGTTGTCATTCCTTACTGCAAATGAGGACCCTTTCAGTTACTTGCTTTGTCTTCTTCAGTTATTTGCTATTTTATAGTCCTTTATGTGTTGGTTTTCTTTCTTCTGATCTGAGATCCTCATGAGTATAGAAGTATTGAACAGTAGTGAAGCAAGACTTTCCTTTCAGAGACATTAACAACTGAGCAACAATTGATTTTACCTTCTTAAAATACTGTTCGTTACGTAGCTTGACACCCTTCACACACGTTGGCTTGTTATCACTTCGTAGTAGCATCTCCCCAGCATCTTCTCCAGGCTGCAAACCTCCACCTCTTTCCAGATAGAGGAGACATACTCATCCATGCTCTGTACCTGCTCCAACAGGTCCACATCTTTCCTGTACTGAGATGAAAGATCAGTTTATTGATTCCGATAGTTAGAATTCATCTCTTCTTTCATGTTGGGCTGATTCATCTCATCATAATGGTTGTGATTTAACCAACTGCATTAGAATTTAATCTGTTTTCAAGTTGGTGTGCAGCAGCTGGCCTTGGAGTGCAAACCAAATAAGTTTGCAGCTTCACAGCACCCTACTTTGCTACATGGAGATCTCGTGCTCTGTGCCTACAATCCAGGACAGAATCCAGAGAGGGTAGGACATCTAAATGTCATAACTGCACATGCCTTTTAATTTTCCTCTTTTCTTTTTTCTTTTTTTTTCTTTTTTTTTTTTTTTTTTTTTTTTTTTTTTTTTTTTTTTTTTTTTTTTTTTTTTTTTTTTTTTTTTTTTTTTTTTTTTGGCTGCCAGATGTTTTAATTGTAGCTGTTTCTAGTTCACTTTATAAGGAGATTGAGTTGTGCAAGGTTATTAAGCACTACCCTTACATGTTTAAATGTTTTTGTTAAAGATGGATCAGCTAAATCCTCTACATGGTTACACCATAGTTATCAAATGGTCTGTGAGGCAGTACCTCAGTCTTTGTGATTCTATCTTACAGATAGGCCAAACTGACTATAATGAATATCCAAAACTGCTCCGAGACCAAATTCTTTATCTGTAGAACAGAACTATTAGGCAGTTTGCCAGACTGCATCATGTGGGCTGCTCTGGAAGACAATTCATTCCCTTGTGCACAAAAATGAATATAGCTCTCAGCAATGTCTGCAATGCTGTCCTGACAGGAAATGTTTTATGAATTGACAGCTCAAATTTGCAGCATGGTAAAATATGGCCAGCAGAAGGTTAAAGAGGATGGAGAAGACTGATTTACTGGATCCTTACTTCTGCTGGGAATGCAAGCAGCTTTCTTCTGTTGCAACTTTTTGTTGCTTATATTCTGTACCTAAAAACCTTTTCGCTGCTGTGCCTGCAAGAGGCCCAAAGCTCTATTCAGTTTTTATACACTGGCATTGCTCTCTTGGTAGCTGTTAACATGGTACTGTGTTTGTGTTCCAAGCATTGTAATGAGAAGTTCAGTGATAAAAGCTTCCAGTGTTTACACTGCAGAGCCACTTGGAAATTCTGCAGATTTGATTGCATTGTTTTTAACAGGCGAGGTCACATTTTAAAAACTTACATATAATCTATCTTAGTCCTAGGAGCACTTGGATGCTCTTCTTGTCCAGTCATTCTGTTGGTAATGCTTTCCTTAATCCATACTCTGGCTTGATGCCAGCTTTTATTTTAAGGTTTTTTACTTTATCTCCCTGCCACTTAGCAACTGTCACGTGTTTTTGACCTCTCTGTCACCTTTTCTTGTCAGCTTTTCCCATGAGTGGCTTCATGCTGTGTTTGATATTGCTGTCAGGGGAAAGGCCCCCTTGGGTAATCCAGAAAGGAATCAAATCCAATTCACATCTGTAATGAGGTACATATTAATCTTCCTAGACATCCCCTATAAGAAATGGCTTCAGAATACAATTTCAAAATTACCAGTTCCTCTGTACCCCATTTAGGATGCTACATTCCTGCATTACCCGTCTCCTTTCTCACTCCTCGTGTTCTTACTGGATCTACCTTTAAAATTATAATAAAAGCTGTGTTCAGGACCAGCTTATGCACAACATCTGTCAAAAATGATGCAACTTTGGTCTCAGTATAAAACATTTATTTAGTAGAGGAAAGAACAGTTAATGCAAATTTACTAAATGTAAAACATGTTTTTGTTACATGATTGATTTGATCATCCTGTGTTGACTCTTACTGATGCACCCTAGTAAGCTTGAAAAGCTGGTGAAATTTCATTGCATTACTAAGATTATGCGTTAGTTTAACTATTCTGTTCAGTGATAAATTATGCATAATATATAAATATTCCTCAGAGTTGTGTAGAATTATGCTTAAGGTTCGGCATTATCAAAGGACTGTTAAATATTCTGTCTTACTAACGCATCTCAGAAAGGACTTGATAACCAAACCTTGCATACTAACTCAGGTACAAAGTACTAGAAAACAGGTGTTAGTTTTACTGATAAATAGGTAATGCTTGTAAGAAGAGGAAGGCTATAAATTGTTAAGAGTTGTCTGGTTTAAGTTTCATAGCAGCACCTTAAACTCTTTGGTGTTGGGGGTTGGCAGACATCATCCTTAATCCAAACTACAGCATTATACCAGCTTCTAGGAAGAAAATTAACTGTATCCCAGCTGAAATCAGGAGAGCTAACCCCATCTTTTTTTTTCCATCTGCCAGAAAATGTGGGATGTAACTATATCTTCAGATGAATTCTAATTCAGTAGTTAAAAAAAAACAGCATAAAAGAAGTACCAAGATGCTCTAAGCTCAAAATTTCATCATTGAAGACTAATACAGACTTTGAATCTGTTTAAAGCCTATGTCATACTAGAATACTGTATTCTTCAACATGTTCTTTCATGGATTGGAATTAAGTTCACATGTTTCTGAAGCAGTTAAATTTCTTCTTAAGCCTTCTTCTCTATTTCTTTTGACTTAAGTGATACAACAGTTATAGCCTGATTAGGATTACTTACAAATACAGATAAATATTTGTAGTCAGCAAAGAGGGCATTAGAGTTGTGATATCAAAAACACATGACAAAGAGGACATCTGAATTCCTGTTTCTCATTGCTGCTTGATTGGCTGTATTCCATTATACATTCCATATTGTTTGTATAATCACATAAAGTAGTTTCCAGTTTTTAATTTCTGTAATATTGTAAGGTAAGCTGAAAGTAATTTCTGTATTTTCCAGTACCTTCTTCGAGTAAATTCCGCTCTCCCGCGGCACCGTCTCCCTTAGCTCTCCGACAGCCAGTGAAAGCGTTCAGTGCCCATGGGCCAGGCTCGGTCGCCTCTCCAGAAGCCACACAGCTGACGCACAGTAGTTCTTCACCAGGGCCTCTTGCAGCCCAGAGCTCAGGCTTGCCGAGCCCTGCCAGCAGTATTAACAGTACTACTCTTACCAGACCAGCAGGGATGAGGAGTGGTTTGCCCAGACCCAGTGCCCCTTCCACAGGGGGCATCCCAGTGCCTCGTAGCAAACTTGCACAGCCTGTTCGCAGGTGAGTCTCTGACAGGTAGTCTTACGTTGAAGTTTTCAAAATTAATTTTGTTCGCTGTGTATTTGTGCTGCTTCTTCTTGCAATTGTTATTTTGATCTTAAAGTTTTCAGAACAGAAGTGGAGACCTCCATGTGAAGTATTTCCATAATAGTTTGGAATCCAAACTGAGAAATAAAGGTTCTTTAATGAGAGAGTGAAGGTGAATGAGTGAAAGTGGAATTGGTAATGGAAGATATTGAACTAAGTAAATAAAATCATAGTCTGGGCTGAGAAGGCAGCAAGAATTTGTCTGCATGTGGTAAAAAGTTACCAAAATATAGCTGGCAAGAGAAAATTCACTTGTGCGAGTGACACATTCTGAAGTCGGAACTGCTTGCCTCCATAGCTTGCCTCCAAAAGCAACAGTACATGGTGAAAGTAGTTTCTTTCCTTGGGCAGCTGGAAACTTCCAGAAGGAAGATGCACCAAGAAATCACTCCAGTTAACCCACAGGATGAAACAGAATTTTTAGCTTAAACATAACTGTGCTAGCACCCAACTATAGAAGTTGCTTGATGTCAGTGTCTTATCGAAAACTACTGCAAGAGAGACTGAATATTAACTGTGAATGTCACTTTTCACTGAAGGTGTTAAGTGGAAGCTGACATAAGGAAGCAGTCATCTGTGAGAAATACTAACAATCTCCTTAAATGGAAGGGAAAAACAATTAGTCTGCAGTACTGTAAAAAAGATGAAATGGTGGTAAATAGCGGAGTGGAAAAGTTCTGTTCTGCAGCGAGTGCTAGGCAGGGGAATGACAAGCAACTGTCACAGCACTGACTTTTGTGATTAAAGCCTGCACTGGTCAGCAGTACAGAACTCTGTGTAATAAAAAGCAGTTGTTTTGCCAGGAGTTTGCTAATAGTAGTGAAGTGTGGTTGTCCAAATGACAGCTTGTCTTAAAGTGTTTCACTTACTAAACTTTTTTTAAACTAGCTTTTAATTTTTCTTTTTTTTAAAGTTTGCATATATAGGACAAAGGGAAACAGCCCTAGCTGGCACCAAGGAGGTTTAGATTAGGTAACAGGCAAGATGTGTTCACCAAAAGGGTTGTCAAACATTGGAACAGGCTGACCAGGGAAGTGGTGGAGTCATCAATCCTGGAGATATCCAAAAGATGTGTATATGTGGGATTTTGAGACAGCCTAAACAATTCCATGGTTCTATAATGCAGACTCCGTACACAGTGCAATAATCAAGTTTCTACAAATGTCAGATGTTGATGTAAGCAAATGCAATACTCTAAACGAGGATTTGTCTGTTTATATACATCACTGAAAAAATGGCCCATTTTAGGTGGAAGCAGATTAAGTTTGCATTTTTACAGAGTATAATAGCAATAAGTTTTCTGTCTAGTTGTCTATTTATTTGGCTTTTTCCTGGCGTGGTAGTTGCCAAGATACAACACATGAAACTTTAAACTGAAAATACTGTAGGGTTTGTCTTAAGTAAATGGTATTGCAGGGAAGTAAATGAATGAATTGTATATTTCAGTTATTCATAAAATGTTTAAATTCTTATGTATTGTAGATAGAGACTTCAACAGTTATTTATGAAACTGAAAAACATCTCATTTCATTTTAGATCATTACCCACTCCCAAGACATATAGCAACGTGAAAGATGAGAGTTGGAAAGATGGCTGCTACTGATCTGCACAGCTCAATGCAGAGTTCCAGTGCTCATGGATACTTCCTCACCAGGCAAAAAGACAGCTTGATTAAACAAACTGTTCAGATGTGACTCTTGGAATTTGTAAAAATTCCAAACCTCTCTGTCTCTGATTAGCACAAACTGGCAGAGATTATTACAAAGCAGCACTTTAATGACATCTAACATCAGATGTTTGGTGGTCATACAATCACTTCTACATTAAATTGCTATCAGTTCTGGGGGCTTTTTTATTGCTTGCTAAAGATGTTATCAATATGAGCATTTATGAGAGTGGCCAATGTCGGGGCAAAAATGAATGAATGCCAAAGAAATGCCCATCTTGAAAAACAGCAAGGACAACTACCAACATACATTATCCACAACTTCATTTTCAGCCTGTTTTAATTCGGCAGAAAGATTGGTGAATATGTACTATTGAAACAAGGCTACATGAATCAGAGCTGATGTTCTGATTGCAGACTGCTACAGTGCTAGGGAAATGTTGCTTTTAACAATTGTATGAGATCCCAGCTGGGACTGGATACGTCCTTCTGGAAGAATCAGCAGTTACTCTGGAGGATTAGGTAGAACAGGGAGTTGTAGCCATGACTTCTGTCACATTAAAAGGTTTGAATGTAGCAGACACACACAATGCAATAGTATAGATTGCATCTTTCCTATGTTGATTTATTGGCTTTACCTACTCTTATGTTTGATTGCCAGAAGGGCTTAGTATCAGCTGTACAATCTTTCTAACCTTAAATTCCTGGCTCAGGAAAGATGGCCTTCACTATTGTAGCCACATTTTTAACACATTGGCATGCTATTTGGGGAAAAATATTTTATAGCAGGTTTCCTTGCAAAAGAAAGAGCAAGTGATAATTTGGATTTGTTCTAAAACCATACCACTATACATGCAGCCTGCAGCAACTGTAAATGCTGGTAGTTAAGGAGAAGGAAACACAACTATGCACTTGTAACATACAAATTTTAAGGAAATGAGTTACTCTTGATGCCAAATGATATTCATTTAGGTGATGTTCCATGGTATGAGGGAGTTTTCTGTATCCTATTTTTTTACTTTCATCCATTTCTTAAATTGGTTTATTTTAAATTGTAAATATTTTTACAGAAGATATTGCCCATGTAAGTGTGTTTAAATATGTACTTTGCCTTACTTATGTGTATCTTACATTACTGGTAACAGAGTATAAAACCTGCTGTGTCTGTTTACAAGCTATTAAACTCCTCTGGTGGCTCTGACTTACTCTAATGCATTTTGCTCAGAACAACTGATATATTTAGCATTGAACCATTGTTTTCTGTTTCGGAAGACATCATGCAAAAATCTGTAGCTAAAGTTGTATTGAGTGGGACTAGTTAAGTGGAAGGGATTTTATTTGAAGGTTTTTCAGTATTTTGGATGTACAGTTGATGAAGTAAGAGAATGTGAATGGTATATCCTTTGTGCAATGACTGACAAACACTACAAGTCGGATTGGATAGTAGGTAGCCTTCAACCCCATTAGTAACTGAGTTTGGGACTGCTGGTGGATTTTGCCCCCACCACTAAGAGGATAACTAATCCCGAAATTCCAGTACTTGAATTTTAGGCCAACATTAACATATTCCTGGATGAAAAGCCATGCAATAGTACTTGACTTGGAAGAAACCAATAGGAAGGAGTGGAGACTAACTTGCAATTTAAACTACTCAAGCAAGCTCTGCGTTGATGGGTGACTTCTCACACCAGACCAAGAGCTGTGCTAGGACTTCAAAGTTGGGGTGTCAAATATACTTGGTCAGATTCCAGCAGAAACCACCTTTCACCAGTACATACCACTAATCTAGCCTTGAGTCACCTGCAGGTACAGGGAATGCATGTATCTGACGGCACTGTTCACCAGAAAACAGGACTAGATCAAATGTGCATACTCTCTGTAAAGCCTGAATTTTAATATTTCAGTATTGTACAAATCAATACTGCAGTCTTCACTGAAGAAAGGGGAATTTAAATGGGTGGATTTTATCAAACCGTTTGACTTACAAATTTTGAAAGTCAGTTTAGGTGACAATATTGGGGTTTTACCATGGCTGCATCAAACTTGTACGTTTCCTTAAGTTAAGTAATTCATCGCTTGGGTAAATTCAGCTTGAGTTTTTTAGGGATTTTTTTCTCTGCTATTCTCCCTGAAATACAGCAAATGACTTCCTGAAAATGACTTCCTGAGAAGACAGACTGTTTGCTAGAAAGCCTTTGTGCATTACCAGTTCATTGATATCAGGAAATCATGGGACTCTGTGTTTAGAGATTTACTGCAGAATTGTGGAAATATGGATTTGATAAAATAGTGCCTATGATTTACTTAACTTATGTTTGATATAGTAGTAAGGGTTTTATGAATGTGGATTACTTTTTGTGCCAACAGCTTGGAATTGATGTATGTGTGTAGGCAGAAGGATTTATTCTGCTCCCAAAGTTATTTAATTTTTTTTTGTGTTTGAATGTTTTTGTAAGTGTTAAAAGTGTAAAAAAATATATATGAAATATTCTTACCACAAAACACCTCCTGGATCCTTATTTTTACAACAAAGTGTTTTAAAAAGTGTTTTAGAAATTTAGAGGATATTATTTTATGGGGTTTTGTCTGGTTGGTTGGGTGGTTTTTCAGGAGCTGTATTCACTTTTCTAGAGGTTACCAGTTTTGGTTTCTGCCTACTGTAATTCATTAACTGAGTACAACACTGTATTTGGGTGAAATCTGTGATTTCATTGACAGACAGAGGTGGACTTGTGCCTCTGCTCTAGAAGGACCCTGCATAGTTCAGACTTATATGAAAAACTGTATTCTGAATTTTCATCCAGAATGATTGAAGTATAGGGCAGTTTGAAGTATACAAGCCTGCCTTTCCATTTTTCAGGATTTCTACTCACTTCAGACCACCACATGAAACAAAATAATTCTGGAATTTATGCAGAAAATTGAGCCATGTAAAAATATACCTACTAAGCCCTTTTGGAACTGATAAGTACACATTTTCTCTACCTTCTACATTAATGCCTTCATCTTTGGCTCATATACAAGCAATAAGTTAGTTTTGAACTTAGTATTTTTCTGTAATATGCATTTTGCTATAAAGCAATGGATTCAATAGTAATGTGAATACCATCTTTGTCTTATCTTGGTATTAAAATAAAGGCAGGTATAATTTTATTTGGTAGCCACTTAATATTACATTTAACAAAATTTAAGCTGTAAAACTTCTAATCAATCATTTATCCCAACATAAGCCAGTAGGTTAAAATGTTTCCCCCTAGTTAACTGACATTTATGGAGAACTGGCTTCAGACCTGCTGCTTCTAAAAGGTATTGTCACTTTTTAGTCTGCAGTCAAGTACCATTTGCCCCACTCCTTCAGGAAAGTAGAGCAGTGTCAAAATCCGGTAATTAATAGCCTTTTGCCCTTTTAGTAGGTTTCTGCAACAAACTCTCCTATATTAATAATAATCAGTATTATCACCATACTGCAAGACTGAAGATTAGAAATAGTATTTTTCTCATTCTGAGGGAAGGTGTGACAGCTCCTTTGGGTCCTCTTACATTTCATGTATGTTCCCCTCTGGAAGCCTGATAGCAGTGGTGAAGAAAAAAAAGTTAGGAATATATATAAGGGGGCAGAAGACTGAAAATGTTTATGTTGCTGGTCTTGAGATGGCTGCAGAGTGCACAATTTAATAATTTAAAACTTACTTTTTTATTTCTCAAAGTATTTGCATTAAAACAGGTATCGGACATGACCATGTCAGCAGTATTGTCTGCAGTTCTCCCTCTTTTGACTGGAACAGAACAAACTTTATATTTAATGTTTACTTTTCAACTAAAACAAGCAACATGTGAGGTTACTTTGATTTAAGAAACAAACCAGAAGCCCCACCTGCTCCTGATGTGCATTTATGCCTCTGTGCAGTCCGAGTCTGACACCTACAGGCAGCCTGTCTGTGCTCACTGTACAGCTTCAGGAGGGTGAGGCTGGGATTTGGCTGCTCTAGGAGCATCCCTGCTTCACACACAACTGCCCAGTCAAGAAAATGCTTTTGGCTCTAAGAGTTAAAGGAGCAAATTCCACCTGACTCACTCTCCACAAGATTTTTTACAACTGTTTCCAGCTGTGATACCACACAGGGTTGTTCTGTGTGTCATTGTCCCTTTGCACTAAATGATAAATTCCGTTGGGACCATGTTAAGCACTTAGAAGGACACAAAACATAACAGTGATTAAGCTGATTTGTACCTCTTCAGCATTGATTTAAAGGAATAGGTAGCAAAAATTACTTCTTAACAGCAATTTTTTAACTTGGTGCATCATCCACCTGTTAGAAACTGAATTTTTAAAAAAATTAGATTTGAAAACTGGAATGCCTGAGATCTCTCTATGCAATGTGGCACTCCCCGGGGACAGAAGTATATTGTATATTTCACCAAACTTAACAAAAGAAGATACTTCTATTGTAATCTGAGCTTCTGTCATCAGCAGCATAAGCAGATGGAATCATGTTGAAAGACTTCTGAAATCATCAAATTCAACCAAGTGCCATGTCCAATCTTTCCTTCACCTCTTTGACTCTACCACCTCCCTGGGCAGTGCATTGTAATGTCTAATCACACTTTTTGTGAAGAAAACTATGTCCAAACACAACCTCCCCTGACTCATCTTGGGGGCTATGTCCTCTTATCACTGACTGAGAGAAGAGAGCAATCCCCACCTGACTACAGCCTCCTTTCAGGCACTTGTAGACAGGGATAAGGTCTCCCTTGAGCCTCCTTTTCTCCAGGCTAAACATCCCCAGCTCCCTCAGCTGCTCCTTGTGCTAAAACTAGAACACAAGAACTAGGGCTCCAGACTCTTCACCAGCTTCATTGCCCTGAAAGCAACAAAAATAACGTAAATCAATTTTCTTTTGAAAATAGTTTTAATAGTTTAAACAGTAAATACAGTAAATAATAGTTTTAATAACTAGCAATAGTAAAGCTTAGAAGACAGTGGCATGTGATGCCTTCTCCCCCAGCATGTTCTCCTCCTTGCTGTTTTTAAATTATCCCTGAAAGTTTGCTTCCATTGGCCCTACAGTATGGGTACCTTACTGAGAAGGTGACTTTGCAGTTCATCCCCAGCACCACTCGGCTGCTGGTTATCATACACAATGCACAGAATTACAGACTATATATTCTTCTCCATTCTGCTCTTTTCTCTTTGCCATGATTTTCTTGGGACTTGGAAAATTACAACCTTTCACAGCCCTCCTATGACAGGCTGATTAAAAACCTCAGTAGTGCAAAGAGTTTGGACTAACATCAGACAAGCCCAAGTCCAGCTCAGCCTTCCTCAGCAATAAAATCAGACAAACTACTGACAGAAGCATCAAACTACTACAGAAGCCTCATACCAGCTACTTCCACTCTCCTCCAGTAGTAAGGCTAGGATTCTTTTTCATGGAAACTCTCTACATTGTATCAGGAAGGTGAATAAAGACACTTCTGTTCCACATTGTTCCCCACCTCTGCCCTGCCCAAGAGAAAAAGGTGCTTATTAAATGTGGGAGTAGGTCATCAGTGACTTGACTTGGGACTCTCTGGGGCCTTGGCTGCTTAAAGCCACAAATGTGATCAGGAAATAGCTGAGGTGTGATGTGTTGATGGTAGAAGAGTGGTCAGGGTAGGGGCCTGACATGCAGGGCTTTCCCCAGTCTCCTGCTCTTCCCAGGCACCTGCCTTGGGCACTGATACATCAGCTGCTGGGCTGGACAGGGCGGCCCTGCTCTGACACCAGCATCACTGCCCTGGAACTCCCAGCGGTCTCCTCCTTTTCTCTTACAGTGCTCTTCCTAAGCTGTTTCCTTTCAGACACTATCAGCAAACAAAACTGCACAACCCATTTCAAAAGCTTAATTATCAAACTGATCCTTACCTGCCTTTCACTCAGCAGGGTTAACACTGCTGTGCAAATTTTACAGCTGCTGCTGATCTCTGTGCTGCACATGAGTGCCAAAATGCTGCCAGGAGAAAGTAATGCTGCACCAAGCTCTGGGTTACAGCAAGTTTGGTTCCTGTTCAGAGCAGAGGGTAAGGCCAAATGTGCTCTGGCTTACTGAACCCAATACATGCCAAATTAAAGGCAGACTAAGTGTTCTTGTTCAAAGCTGTTTGTCTTAATGATGAGCACCAGGACAGAGTATTGTGCCATTGTAATTTTATCTTTGTCAC